GGCACATTAGCATGGGTCTGCCAGGCGATGCGCGATGCTGGGCATGCCGCCGCTCGCGAGTGGAGTGGAGTGGGGGCGATGATGTGGATGCGCTCGTTGGAGCGTCCTTGGAAGTCACGAGTGTCTGATTCTGATTCTGATTCGAGCGGCCACTGGCTCCTCATCCCACCTCTGCAATTGCAGTCAGGAGTGATCGAAGGATACGTGGCAGGCCATCGGTTCGCTCCAAATATTGTGCTGCTCCGTCATTCGAATCAACGCATCGTGCGCCACCCCTTCCATCACGTTAGACTGCGCCATCTCTTTCACCTTGACGTCGTATTTGTCCTGCCCACGTCAGCGCCTTTATCGTCTCGCCTCGAGCCAACGCATCCGTACGCGACAGGTGGGCATGCCCGTTCGTCGAGGAGGTAAGCGTATCTCCCATGAGCTTCTGCGCCAGCAGGTTCGAAGCTGCATGTACCGCCATCGTCGCGAGTCCTCGAGTAGGCTGGCAAGTGTGCGAGTTTGTGAGAATGATGAGCCAGAAACAAACAGTCGCTTCACGCCGATCCGTCTTGCCCCTTTATACTCTGACTGCTCTGGCATCCTTCAACTCATCGATGCGGCAGGCACATGACATTCTGTGAGGCATTCATCGACCTACCAGGGTCCGTGGGAAGGGTCGTTGCTCCCTGAGGTAATGCTGATTTGTAATTGCCTTGGCTTTTTTGCACAGATGATCAAGTAGGAGAGGGAGTCAAGTGTGCAAGATTGGCTATGGCCAGAGCAAATGACAAGCAATGGAATATGGAATATGGGGCGGGGGGCTTGCTGACTGCTCCTCAAGGTAAAAGCTGTTTTGTGATTGCTTCAGCTCTTTGCAAAGACAAGCAGGGGTACTTTCTGGCATCAAGAGCAAATTTGAGAGGGCAATACGTTATTGGGATTGCAAGGTTGCAGCAAAAAAGTGAGTGATTGATGGCAGTTGACCATGAGAAACTGCCAGGTGATGTCTGGCAAGTGTCTGTAGCAGGGGAAAGGTAACAAGGGGTACAACCGGGGCCGTGTGGTCATGCTGTGCTGCAAAATGAGATGCCAATCAAGTAGACCTAGCAGTTGGCTGAATGGGAGCAGGACACCTGCGCGTCTTCATAACGTGCTTTGAAAAGCTGCCTTAGACTTCATCCTCTGGAGTCTGGCTAGGAGCGACAGAAACATTGGTGGCACTGGTAGTCTCCGTAGCACTGGTAGCCTGAGTAGCGCCAAATGCTGGAAAGCGGCAATTCTCAGATAAAAGTTGGAGCTTCTTGCTCAGATCCTTGTTCTGTCCAGTGAGCTTACAAATGACAACTTTGTCTCTGTTGCTCTCAATCAGTCTCCCAACCCCAACATCAAACAGTTTGTCATGCTTGTCCTTGTAAATCTTTGTGCAAGAACGCTCAAGGCTCAGGTCATGCGAGTGATCTTCTTTCAGCTTTTGAGAGTGCCTGCATTCCTCATCTAGCTGGGCAGTGAGCTTTCTGATCTGCTCAATGAGTTTCTTTCCATGCAATGGTCCGCTTCCAAGGCTAGAAAGAGTGCGCTTGTGTGGTTGGACTGGCCTGCTGCATCCCACCACCTCAGTCAGCTGGCATTGCAAGCTCTCCTGCTCAATGCAAGCATCCCATGCCTTGCCTTGCTGTATAAGCTCTCTCTTTGATCAGCTCTACCTGAGTAGTAGCCTGGCCTTCCTCTGCAACTTGACGCCTTTTGGGGTCCTTTGTCATTGTGACAGTGCTGGCCTCAAAGATTGGAGCGCTGCTCTTCCTGATACAGGCCGTCGCGGCCATGTTACTCTGGAAGGTTGAAAAGATTGCCAAAGGCCATGAAAGGACAAGAGTTGGATTGCCCAGCTTGGGTTTGCGCACAGGAATGATGGCTGAATCACGCCTTGACAAGCTGCGCACTGGAATGTGGCTCAAATTCAGATGCGCCTCTGATTCTGAAGTGTGACAGTGAAGCCACTCATGAACCACCTCTTGGGCTTGTCCTTGCGATCACCCAAGGTGTCATAGTGCTCTCCATTTGCGCGCAAGTCATCCAGACACTCCTTCAGGTGCTCCTGATTATACTTGTGAGTTGCAGACTTACTGAGATCGAAGCAAAGCATGTCACAAGGTTCCTGATCTGCTCCCCCCTGCAGATGACAAGGCCAGTCTGCGTTGCAAGCAGGAACTGTCAACCAAGGCCCATCTTTGATGCCCATCTTCTGACAAACATATTGGTAGAATGTCATGTAGACATGACCGCGTAGCTTCTCATCCGCCTTTTCGGCTTTGCTAGGCAAGGCCATCTTGAGCTTGCGGTCAACGTCGCGCATGCTGGAGGTGGATGGCAAAAAGGCATCAGTGAGTGGCGTTTGCCAGAGGACAGGTGTCGCAAAGCTCATTTTTTCTTGACTCTTTTTCATGACATCCATCTTGTTGAACAGCTCTTTGAATTGCTTGGTGAGGTCATCGATATGCGCTCGTCCAGGTGAGCATGCAGCTTTAATGTTCTCTCCAACGCCGCGCAATGGTTGTTGTACTGAACCTTGTTCATGATCACAATCACCTTGCCATTGATGGCCTCAAGGTCAGGAAGGCGCAGATTGTCACCAACTATAGCGGAGATATTGATGGTGTTGCCGAGCATCTTGACTTTGGCAAGGGAATCTTTCACTGGGTTGATTTGTTGATTCACTTGCTGAAGGACAAACTCCTTGAGGCAAGGCTTTGCGAGCGCAACGGCATCCTCAGCGCATTGGCAAGCGGCATTGGCCTTGCCCTGTCCTCAGGGCTGGCGCTTAGAAAAACCGGACGCGGCAACGGACATTGTGGCAAATCACAATCACGTGGATGGAGTACCCGCAGAGCATCGATATGGATGGCATCAATTAGTTGTGAGTGTGACAAGAGACGACAGAAAGGGAAAGTGTAGATAGCGAAGGCGCATGGGAAAGACTTGCGACGTAGGCTTGGTCGAGGATGTAGGTGTTTGACCGTAGCACAGCGCGTACTGCACAGGGCTAAAAAGAAGTTGGCAGCTAGAAGTTTGCGCGTTGCTATGCCTGCTGACAGATGCTCCTGCTTCTGACTCTCCCGCTCAGGCCATCTCTGGACTTGGCACTGTACGTGTACAGCGAGTTCTCATTGCGTTCTTCTGCGCGACTTCTGCGTGTGTATGTCCGTGTGCAGAGGGTGCACAGAACAGCGATGCAGAGTCCCACCAGATAGTTGGTTTGAGGTAGGACAGACAGATCAGACAGCTACGCGTCTGACCTCAAAATTAGCAAACTTGGAGGTGGGACGCAGTAGGTCAGAATCTGTCCCACTGCATGTGGAACCACCTCTCCTACCGCCTTTCCGCGTCCTCCTAAGACAGAAGCTGCCCTACTCGAACGTCCTACTGCTGGTAGGACGTCCGGTAGGACAAAATCCTACCACCTCTGCTCGCGCGGCTGTGAACGTGGTAGCGTTCCGGGGTTTTTACTACAGCTAGATAGGAGGTACGAAAGACTGGGCGCACGGGAACGGTACGCGTCCATGAACATCCGGGCCTCTCACAACATCTTGACGTACACACGAGAGGGGGGCGGGCGCATCGCGATGCGCGCCAAACAAAAGTCCTTGAGCAATCGTACGGACATTCGTGACTTCTGCTCTCTGATCATCGCTCAATAATGCAAAGAAGCAATCGATTAACCTCGTACTATGCTCCGGACGTGCGCGCAGCACGTACGGGTGCAAGAGCGCAACGTGATGCGCATCTCGTCTCGTCCCGCACGCACCCGCTTCAGATTCTCTCTCGAGGAATCAAGTCAAGCAGCAAAATCTTGCGCGCGCGCGCGCGCTTCGTGACGACGGTGGTTGAAGAAAGCTCATCTGGCTGGGGGCCCGTTGCCATCGATCGGTGCAAGCTTCGTCATGTGGTGCGCAGCAGCGGGGCGCGCGTCGACCGTGATCGCGAGATTTCATGAGTGCAACCAACGAGAAACAAATAGCGTACTCTTTATATTTGGGGAAGATCACTCGCTCAACCTCAGTTCGACGCCCCAATAGCTCCAATGGTAGAGCGCGTCACTCGTAATTAGCGCATATGATCGAGAGGTCACGTGATTAATGCGAAATAAACCATGATGAGGTTAGTCGTTCGAATCGGCTTTGGGGCAAAAGTTTTTGTTCGGCTCACCATTAATTCAAAAATGGGTACTGGACGCATTCCGAGCGCCTCGTTCATTGCCGCGATGGCTCTTGTCAAGATTGCAACGTTGTTTAGTCGGATTCGGAACCCCCTGGTTCAATCGGGTGAGAGTCTTTTGCGCGTTCGGCGTGTTCATCGACAACGTCATCCGTTGTGTGGAAGATTTGCATGGCTAGGAAGCGTTGCTCTTTGAAGCCGATTCGTGGGAATGAGCGCAATTCTTTCGAGGTCGATGGCAGTTGGTCAGTATATTCGACAAACGCACTACTTTTCTAGGGCAAGGTATGGGCCCGCTTCTCAAGAGGCTGTCGGATCTTCGTCGAAGCCCAGGTTGCGGCGGAACACGGCTCGATGCTTAACTCCGGACCCCGAGCTTGTCAGCATCGACGCATCCTAACACAACTATCTTCCTGGTCACCGACCGAATCTGCTTAGCGGTGGGGGTTGGAAGAGATCAAAGGGCGGAAGATCAGTGGCGTCACCGTGCCGACCTCTACAAAAGGTTTCCAAAGGACAATCAAGATGTTGGATCGAAGAAAGAACAAGGTTCGCGCGAGGTGCAGCACTCGTTTGAATAGTGTCTATTTCGGCTCGCCGCAACGGAACAAAGCAAGACAGAGGAGGTAGGGGACGTTACAACGACGCAAAGAAAGCGTCCAATTTCGAAGCCAAATCGGCGGCCACTCGCGAATGTTTGAGTGCATTCGGGGAGCCAAATTGAGCGTAGTGTGAGCCTTCCTGGGTCATGACTTGAGCGCTCGGAATTACTGCTCGTAGTCCGAGATCATGTTCGCGCCACTCATACCTGCCGCTGGTCGCGTCTACCGCGCGCGAAGTCGCAGTCGTGCAGATGCCCGCTGCCTGCTTGACCAACAGGATTGGCAGATACCCGCCATCGGGCGCCGCAAGAACCGAGCGCACATTCTGGACGAAGCGCTCCGCATCAAATCGATTCGAGTCCGATGAAGGCGCTCCCAACTTTTGCATGGCAATCGTGCTCTGGCGAGAGTGTCGGCGAAACGTTTCTACAAATTTGGCCACCCAAGTTGCGACTTCTCCAGTCGACGCGACGGGCTTCTCTTGTCCAGAGCGGGCTTCTTCGTCCCAAAACAGGTCCAGCTGAGCGGCGATGGCTGCATCGAAAATAGGCTCCCGATCTGCAATTGCAGCGCGCATGGTCCGACGAAGAATGTCGTCCAATGGATTTGCATCGCCGCCAAGAATCGCGGCGAGATTGTCCGCCCACGAAGATAAAAACATCGAGGGAGAATGATCCAGGAAAACGAGTCCCAGAACGCCATCCTCAACGGGCGTCATCTTCATGCTCTGCACAATCTTCAGACTAGTGATGACTCCGCCAGAGAATGCACCTAGTCGGAGTCTCCCTTCGGGCTGGACTTTGCGGATTTCTCTCAGGTACACCTCTGCCACCTCGTCCAAGTCGTCTAATCGTGCCGACTCGGTAGTCTCCCGAACCCCGTAGACAGGGCAAGGCAGTAAAGCCGCAACATTTGCAAAGTAGGCAATGCTACCTCCCGCGCCATGTATCAGGAACAGCGGATCACCGTCCGTCACGTCATTGAGATGCACGACGCATGTGTCAGCGGCGGAGTCCAAGCCAGCTGAGCCTTTTACGGTCCCATTCGAAGCGGAACTACCATTGGGCTGCGCCCCTTCCGACGAGGCTTGAATGTCTCGCAACGTAGTTGCTCCTAGCAGCTGCATTTGCGTAAAGTTCAGACCAAATTGGCGCTTGAGCAGGCCAGATAGCTTGACCGCTGTGAGCGAGTCTAGACCGAGAGAGCTCAAGGGTGCTCTTTCGTCCAGCGAGTCAGACTGAGCACCAAGAGCTTCTTCCACCAAGCCTTTAGGGCTTTTGATCACCTTTGCTGAATCAGCGGCCTGACTTGCGGGTGCATCGTGCATCAAATGCCGCCAGCATGACGCTTGAAGAGGCGAAAGCAATTGCAGCGATTTAATGTCGACATCCGGAACGTAGTAGCCATTGATGACCACGCCGTCCTCGATGAGATGCAGAGCATCATCGAGAATCCAAAAGAGCTGCTCAAAGGTGATGCCCAAACTTTGCCCGAGCGAGATGAGCGATGCGTGAGCTCGCCCCTGTGTTCCCGACAAGGTGCGAATGTACGAGCCTCCATCGAGAAGTGGCGGAAGAGCCACTGTAAGAGTCTTTTGGCTGATCGCGGCAATCGCCTCGAGGCCGCTTCCAGCAGCTGCATAGCTGCTCTGGCCCGAGTTACCGACCAAAGAAGCAAGCGATGAAGTTGCGATCACAAAGTCAAGATCGGACGTGGCATGCCCAGCGGCTGAAAGCATGTTGGTTAAAGCAACACCCTTGGCGCCGTAGGATGCTTCGAAGTGGGCTTGTGTTTGTGCCGAAAAAGGCGCGTCGCGAATATCGGCAGTAACGAGGAAGATGCCACCAATTTGGATATTCAGCTGCTGCCAGAATGCCTTGACGAACGTCGTGCTTGATGCGTCAAGCGTCTCGATACGGAGATCGAAATCTTCGGCCGTTTGCAGGTACCGAAGAAGCTCGTGCGTGTCAACAGACATGGCCGATGCTGCCAGTGCAATTGTACCGAGGTCAACGATTGGCGTCATGTGATTACTGCGCGTTCGAAAGTGTCACACTCACCCTTGTTTGCAAATGCATTGCGGCCGGAGCGCGACGCAAGAATGACTGTACGAGCACCTCTTTGCCTCATCCAAGCAGCCAGCCTCAGACCGAGGTCGTTGCAGCCTCCGACACAGAGGTACGCTTTGCGAGGATTGAACAAAAGGGTCTGTCGTCCGAGTCCCTTCTTCACGAGTGGAGCGGAGTCCGCCAAGGGAAGCAGCTTTTCGACTTGTGCCTGGCTGATCGAGAGTGAGCTGTGGCGGCGAAAGCTGTGCCGCAAATGGTCTTCAAGAACAATCCTGCGGCCTTCCGTCGACAGGCTGCGCCAAAGTTCTTGCACGTCTGTGCTATCATTGGTGACCAGCAGCAACTCCAAGCGACAGGACCGGAGTTCCCACGACCAGTCCTCTCCGAAGTCCGAGAGCTGCTTGACGTTCATGCCCATCGTCTTTAGCGCTCGAGACAACGCTTGATCAAGTGAGGCGCTTCCGCTGCTGATTAGAGTCAATCCAGCTTCGCTAGTGGTGCAGCCGTCGCTGACAACAGCTTCGAGCAAAGCAGGTAGGATGGCCGCAAGCGATGGGCGTGATGTTCCGCAAACTTCGATGGTCTCCACTTCCGACGCCACAACAAAGCTCGCTTCCGGAGCGCTCGTCAAAATGACGAAAGCTGCAGATGGAGAGTCTTCTGTAGCCGAGCTCACACGTCGACAGCATGCAAGAGCAGCATGTGCGCTGATGGCAAGCCTCTCGTCCACGTGATATACTTGCTCTCCTTTGTCTACGAAGGGAGGGTAGGTCACTTGACGTTGACCTTCCGCATTGCAGACCCAGAAAGGTTCAGCCGCAGAGCTTGCAAATATCTCGGGGTCAGCAAGACGTATGAAGCGTGGCACAAACACGCTAGAAGAGCGATCGATCCAAAATTCTAGGTCGTCTCCCTCGAGCAGATCGTCGACGCCGCAGCCAAGTCTGGACTGAAGCAGCTCAAGTCGATTCTTTGAAGCTTTTGCTTGGACCGGAGAGGATGCATCCAGCAATGCTTGGCCTCCGTTGCGGTGCAGTGAACTAACTCTCTTGCACCGCTAGCGCCCTTCAACGGCACGATGGCGTGCCTGCCTGTCCGACTTGGGCCGCGTTTGCATGATAGCGCGCCGCCAAACGTGCATGCATGCAGAAGGTTTGCTGCATGGTGATGCAGCATGTACCGCGTGGTCTCAGCCGGCTTAGCGCAAATCACGAACAAGGCAGGCAGGCGTGCGACCTGAGTTGACGATTCCACGATTCATGCAGATTAATTGCATTCACATTCAAATAACACGAGTGGGTGCATGGCGGCTGCGTTGTGAGGCGGCATACGTGCACAGCCTTGCAGCCGAGCTTTCAAGCAGCAAGCTCACGTATACTTTGTGTCATCCAGATCCACACGTCCCTGACGCGCTCCCTGACGCGCTCCCTTTCCTTCTTCATCTCCTCATCCAGATCCAGATCCAGCATAGCGGCCGCTTACAAAATTCGCAATTCGCAACATGTCCTCTCCTTCGAGCAACATCAAAGTGGCGTGCGTTGGCGCTGGCTATGCCGGTCTTGCCCTTGCCAGGTCTATCCTGCACAGCGCGCCTGGGGCCCAGCTGACCATCTACGAGGCGGACGAGGGTGTGGGAGGCGTTTGGCGCAAAGTGAGCGAGCGCATAGGAGATCGTGATCGTGATTGTGATCGTCTGCTAGCCTGCCCGCCTGTCTTGCCTCTGATCACGTGCGTGCTTTGCCGCCCGCATGTAGACCTCATATCCAGGCGCAGGCAGCGACTTTCCCTCTCATTGTGAGCGCACGTGTGGGCGCGGGGTGCGGGGTGCGGGGCGCGGGGCGCGGGGCGCGGGCAGACATTGGCCAGCTAACTGTGTGCTGTACCCTCACCATCCGCAGTGTACGCTTTGCCATGGGCTCTCAATCCCGACTGGGCTCGCTTCTACAGCACGCGTCCAGAGATTCTGGCTTACCTCGAGCGCGTGGCAGAACAAAGCGGCTTCTTGCCTTATATCCAATTCAAGCACAGCGTCCAGAGTGCGGTCTGGCAAGAGCAAGACGGGCTTTGGCACATTTCCGGTACAAGAGCGTCTGCTCAGGGCGAAGAAGAGTGGCACGCAAAGGCTCACGTGTGCGTTCGCATACTGCCTGGGACGGGATTTGGAGCTGATCATGCGCGCTGACTTGGAACTTTCTTGCCACACCCTCACCCTCCGCAGACTTGTGAACGCTGGAGGCATACTTTCCAAATCAAATGGTGCGCGGACAGACATTTGCATTGCAAGTAGAAGCCACGGCTCACGTGGACCTTCGCGCCGACCTCTGCAGTCCCATCTCTGCCTGGCGCTGAAAGCTTCAAAGGGCAAATCGTGCACACTTCTCAATGGAATGACGATATTTTGGTGGCCAACAAACGCGTTGCGGTGATAGGGTGCGCACAAAGCTTCACGCTGTGATTCCGCTGCTATGCGTGCTGATCGTCGACTCGCTGCTCGACTGCTTCTGTATAGTGCGGGGGCCTCTGCGATTCAGATTGTTCCTGCCCTGCAACGCCTGGGCGTCGGCCATACTGATCTCTATGTTCGCTCTCAAGCCTGGATCGGCACGCCGTTCAATTTCGCCGAGCGAGACGCAAACTTCAAGCAGGAAGCGGAAAATTTTGGCACGCTGTTCACAAACGACGTCGACATCATCTCTCGGAAGAACAACGCAACGCCCTCCGGCACACCAAGGGCGATGTTGAACAGCATCGAAAGTGGCTCGAGGAAGGCTTTCATGGAAGCGCGAGGGATCTCTACACGCGTGACAGCCCCATGTCTCTTTTTGTTCGAGGTCA